ATAACATTTCAAAGAGTAGGTGAGCTCAATTTAAATGTTGTTTTGTATGTAAAAAATCAGTCCATATTGACTAAAGTTACTGTAATGAGGTCATGTTTGTGAACCCATTCTCCTAAATCATAAAAGGATCCTTATTTGGGGGAGGGGGGAGGGGGAATACTTGTGGTTTGCTGCCAGCTTTTGCCCTTCATAATAAAATTAATCAGGGAAAATACACCTGTGTGTTTTAAATAGAAAGTAAGGAGTCAAAATACATGCAGGCATCTACATAAATCATGTTCAGATATCTATGAGCCAGTCTGGAGCACACCCATGCTCAAACGTTACAACCCGGAGTCACTTGTGCCTCTGTGTCCGAGCGTGACTCTTTTCCTGGCAGCCCCGGAGCGTGTTGGGAAGTGCCTGGCGAACCCGCAGCTTCCCAGCTCCAGCCACGTGTTTAGAGCGGCACTTTGGCCTTTGGGGTGCAAGAGGAAGGGTGCCTGAAGGTTAGAAATGAGTCTGCACAGCCCCTGAGTGCTCTCCTTCCAGAATGTGTGCAGGAGTGAATTATTTTCTTTTGCATCCCTAGGGTAGGAAAGAATGGGATTGCAAATGGTAACTTCTCAGGGTAAAGGCATGTGCATTAAGCCTGGGACTTTTACGAAGAACTTAGAAGCCACCACAAGTGAAACTCGTGTTACCTTCTAAGGGTTAATTCAATTCGAGTTATGTAGCAGGTAGGCAGGAAAGCCCAGATGTTTGGTATTTCCAGCAAGTTAAAGGAATTCCTTGGGTCCTTCTTCCCTCCCGCCTGTGCCTTCTGCAGCCCCTGCCTCAGAGGCTGAGCTCCGGGCTCAGGAGATGCTGCCAGGTGGCTGGGCCGGGTGGTGTGGCTGGAACGGAGCCCCTGGGGAGAAGGTGACCAGAGCTGCTGGGAATGGGAGCTGGGGGAAGCAGGGCAGCTCCCTGCCAGGGCGGGCAGGCGAGAGGCGCCTCGGGCCGCAGCGTGGGGCACCAGCGGCGCCCRCGAGGAGCAGCAGTGCTGGAAGCACTGGCCTAGAGGACCCGTGGGGGTTGCCCTTCACAGAAAGCAGCTCTGCAAGGGGCYAAGTTGCCCTGCTCTAGGTGAAGGAGAGCCACCTTGCAGGGATGGCAGAAATAGGTAGCAGAAGGCTCTGACTCATCCTGTGGTGCTGTGGTTTAAGCTGAAGGACCTTCCTACCTTGGATCTATTCCTACTGGCTCAYGTGTCTCAGGAACCTTTAGCACCTAGTGCTTAGAGCCAGTGCTTGCAAACAAAATGGGATGGATGCAAGAAGCAAAATACTATCTCATCCTAAAAATAGAGCTGAGGCGGCTTTGTGTTGATAAGGAGCTTCCATCAACCTTTACTATATTTGATTTTCTAAATTTAGAAAAAAGCCCTCAACTCCCTAGCAAGCCTTGCCTAGCGAAGCGCCYGGGAGCAGATGCCGCGTGGGCATCTCGGTGCTTCCCACTCGGCACGGCTTCGTCTCAGCAGCCAGTAGCGCTAGTGCACAGCGGGTGGGAGACCCTCGCGTTGCCGCCAGCTAGAAGCGTTGCTCTTGCAGGTCATGAGAGCTTTCCCTAGCGACTGAATCAATCTGGAGTGAAATAACCTCAGGTTATTTCATGAGACAGTTTTTTTTTTTTTCCACAACCAAGATTAATAGGACTGTGATAGTTTACCTGTCTTCCAGACTCCTTATGTGTTTTCATGGTTAGCATTTTCAAAMCTAATCAGTCCAGCTCCTGGAAAAAAAATACAGATGTATTTAAACAATAATAGATACTTATATAGTGCTACATAATAAATATTTATATATCTGCATTTATACAGATTTRTAATGTCCCTGTATAAATAAATGTATTTTATAATTTATATACTTAGATGCTTATCTCAGATGTGGAAACAAAGAGTTTCATGTGAGGCAGGAGGAAAACTATTCCTGTCTTAATGCACAAAGAACCTGAGCATCTGTAGGCAGACTAACAGCAGCTGGCAACTGCTTGGCTGGAAGAGCTGTCATCSTGTCCCCAGAGAGATGCACAGAGGTGGACTGGGGAGGTGAGTGTGAAGAAGCCGTCAATTTTTACTTGTAGGGCAGGGAGGGAAGCTGCCTGCAAGCGCTGCTGCCCACTTCTTTTCCCTTGCTGAGGCCCCAGYCTGTAAATACAGGGCTGGGTTCACGCTCAAAGGCTTGACCCTCCGAGGGAGATGYGAGTGATGTAGTGAGTTCCCAGAGAAACAGAGTTCCTTCTGAGAGCTGCCCAGCACCCTTGGGAGTAGACAGGAACTTGGGAACTGAGGGGAGTGGGAGCAGRGACAGACTGATGCCTGGCCATGTCTGCCACGAGTGTCTCTGGGGTCCCTGTGGATGAGGTGGCAGCGGTGCCAAGGGGATGTCACGGCACCGCAGCCTCCCCACAGACCCCGCGGGACCTTGCGGCACTGCGACATTCCAGCGGCACTGCYGCCTCGTCCGCGCTGCCCCAGGCTGCCGTTTCATGCCTCGCTGGGTGAACTGTGCGAGCAAGGACACTGCCAAAGGGGAGCTCAGCCAGCCATCCGCAAGGGGCCATCTGTCACCAAATGCTTTAACAAGTTCGAAAACAATTGAGGGATTTTTTTCTCCATTTTTATTTTCACAGTTCATTCAGTGTGTAGGTAACCTGGCAGCTCCCACAGTGCCAGTTTCTACTTTGTGCATGTCTGCTAAACAGATTGTTGAGTTTGAGTCTTGGTTGTGTGTGGCTCTGGAGGATGTAACAGCAATGGCAGTTTCAGTACTTGCTGCCTAAGTTTTCTTGGGGTAGAGGGAATTTTGATATTTGTAGCAGAAAAGATAGGGAAAAAAATGTTGTTACTCATTATAGCAGTGTTCCCTGAATGCAGGAGGAGACTATTGCTGGGGCTAGAGGGTTTTGTGAAGCTGGAATGAATCCAAAGTGTCTCTCCCTTAATGCAGCCGGTTGCTTGCAGAGCCTTTTCTGCGCTTGCTTTCACAAAGCTGGTGAAGTCTAGGGGCACTTCCCAGCAGCAAGCAGATCTGCGGTTTCTTTTAGAGAGCTCTCAAATCATGGCTTAAGTTCCTGCAATGATGGCTACCTCCCTTTTGAAAATAAAGCAGCAATATTTGGGTATTTAATGTGTTGAAGAAATATTTTTCTCCAGTGTCTCTGATTTGTTCTTTCCAAGAACAAATCCTTTTTGTAGGGATGGTTGTAGCCCTCTGCTTTCGTTGCCCTTTCCAGGAGTAGGTGGCAAGATGACAGTGGGGATTTCCCAGGTCTGTGGGGTTGGTTTGGCTTTTGGCTGAGCTGTGTGTCTGCAGGGAGCGTTTTCCAGGTGGAGAAGTAAAGCAATGTACCCCGGGCTGCTGGGTGCCGGCAGAGAGGCCCCTGCGGAGCGGGGCAGCAGCTCTGTGCCCCTCGCGCCTCCTCGGGGAGTTTCTTGGACCTCATAATTTGGCTGTTTGTTTCTATTGGCAAATGCACTTTGAGACAAGTAATTTCTGAAGGCAATTTTCTCGAGAAAGGGGAAATGCTTTTGTAAATTAATGTTGCCTTGGAAAGGATTTAGTAAGAGAAAAATCTGCACCCTAAATGTGGATTTATGTACCGGGCAGGGAAATCCCAGCTGGTAAATGTCCTCCCAGCGTAGGATGCCAAACTTCAGCTCCTGCGGTAGCTTCTTTTAGATCGGAGCACAGCTGCGTGTGGAGCGGGCGATCACTTATGTATCAATCCATCTGCCTCGCAGAACAAATGTGCTCCGAGGAAATGCTAAATCTGTAGCTTCAGCTCCCAAGTGCATGGATGTCACTGTGTGTTAGTGCTTTGGAAGCAAGAGTTCCCTTTTTACCCATGAATTGCAAGGGTAAGTTCAAGTTAAACTGTTTTCTGATGAATGAAGCTTCTTACTGTGTTTAGAGATTCTCTCCATCTTAGATTAAACTGTAAAAGTGCCTAGAAATGGTCTTCGGATGTGTATTAACATACTGGTCTACTTCTACAGCATTTGCCCACCTTAGTAGGCAGTCATGTAGTGAAATTAAATGAGGCTGCTTTGGGGAGGACTGTTCATGTGCAGCAACTTTGGCCATGGGTGTTTAAACAAATTTTGCATCTCTCTTTAAATCTAATTTGCAGATTAGTTTGGACTGAGCTTGAATGTGGTAGTTTAGTTATGGATCTTTAAAGGTTTTTATAAGAATAACTGAGGGAGAAATATTTGAAATAATGCTAAATATCCTCAACAGATTCATGGAATTCGTAATGCTCTAAAGTTAGAAAACTTGGCTATTTATTGGATCAGTTTTCCAAACCACTGAAGTTGATCAATGTAGTCCCCACAACACAGTCTAGACTAAATTGCTTCCAAATATGCCATATCATTGTGTTATTTGGGATGTATGCTAGTGTGGGGGCCACGTTGCTCTCCCCAGGGTGACTTGCATGTGTATGTGAGGGTCTTTAAGAACTCGAGTCCCCATTTTCACAGTTGTCTGGGTGAATTCGCCGGCCGGTGGCCCTGCTGTAGCCCTTCTGCAGTGCTGGAGGTGCCCAGCGAGCATCGGCCGGGCCAAACCCGCTCTAACATCGGCCTAGCGCGCGCCAAGGGCGAGACCGCAGCAGCCCGGCCCGCGGCCGCCGCTCCGCCCGCGCTGGCGCAGGGGGCCGCCAGGCAGCCAGCAGCCTCGCGACTGCCCTTTAAAAGAGGGAGGGAGGGAAGAGCGAAGGGAGGGAGGGAGGAAGAGAGAGGGAGGGAGGGAGCGGAAAAAAAAATAAATAAAAGAACATGAAGGCGCCTGGGTGGCTCCTGCACAAAGTGCAGAGCTCGGCGCGGCGGCGGCGACTGCTCCGCTAAACTTGAGCGAGAGGAGTTGCCAGCGCCACGGGAGCTGCCGCGCTGCTGTTTACTGCGCTGGGAAGAAGTTGCAGGATGAAATCCAGGGATTAAAAGACCTATTTTTTTTTCCCGCCTCGTTGTTTGCAAAGGAATCCACTGAAATGCCTCGGAGGACCCTAGAGCTGGCGCTATGTGGAGGGAGAATGCAGTAAGTACCGCGGCAGCCGCGCACCTCCGGCCAGTGCCGCTTTTAGCGGCCTCGGTCTAAACGCGGCCGCTTCAAGCGGTGTCTTTAAAATAACCAGATTTGCTGGAACTAGGGAGGACTCCAGGCAGCCTGAGCCCCGGTCCGGGGTTTGGCGTGGGCTCAGCGCGAGCCCACGAGGGTCCCTCACGGGAGCGCAAGAGCTTGTCGGGCCCGCGGGAGCTGTCCCCTACGTGGTGCTTGCTCGGGGCCTCCCGGGGAACCTCGCTGCTCGTGTGGCCGCGGGGCCCCGTGCTGCAGCGCGCCCGCTGCCCGCGGAGCCCCGGCCTCGCCGCGAGCGGGGCTCCCCGTCAATTTGATGGGCCCAATCGCTCTGTTTCGCTCCCCGGGCTGTGTCGTTGCCCCGCTCTCCCCCGCGCTAACGGCCTCTCCCGCTGCGCGGCCGCCCCGTCCCGGGCAGCGGTGCCGGTGGCGCCGCGCGGGCTGCGGCGCTGGGCGCGGCCGGCGGGGGGCGCCGCGGTGCCGCGGGCCGCCGCGGGAGCGGGAGCGGGGGAGGGGGCGCTGCCCTGCCCCGTGTCCTCCCCCGGTCTTCCCGTTCCGCCGCCTCCCGCTCGGGGCTTTGGAGCGCGCGGGGCAGGCTCGGGCACTCCCTGCCCCGCGCTGGGCGCTGGGGCAGTGGGGTGGCTTGGCTCTCGCGTGGGCTCCCAAGTGCTCCGTGCCCGCTCCGGCAGGAGGGGGGGCTGCAGCAGGCGCCGCTCCTGGGGGCTTGGGCGTGACTGATGGGGATGTGCTTGGATCGCGGGGGAGAGCAGGAAAATGCCCCCCCGGGCTGGGCGGCCGCGCTAGCGCTCCCTGCAAGATGCTTCAGCACCAGGTCGGCCCTTGGCGGCACAGGGAGTCCCCCTCGCAGCTAGCGGGGAGCCGGTTGTGGGCGCGGAGATCCCCCGCGGCGCGGAAAGCGGGGGAGCTCTTGCCGAGTCAGACCCGCGCGCCCCCTCTCCCTCCTCCAGACAGTTCGGCTCTCTTCTGCCACGGCTCATCTCCCTCCCCGTCCCACTCGCTCTATATTCAGCCCCCTCCAGAGATGCAGCGGAGCTATGAAGTAAGCCAGTGCGGGGCTGCTCGTTCCCGGAGCACCCTCCCCTTCGCCGCTGACAACTTCGAGTCTGAGCGCAGGACTCCTGAGAGGCGCGCGTGAAGGCTGCGCGAGAGCAGGCAGCGGAATGAAGGCAGAGCCCTGCGCTGCCGAGCGCCCTGCAGAGGCGCCGCGGGCTCCGCACGGGCAGCAGCTCTCCGCGGGAGAGCGCCAGAACTGAGCCCGTTCCTGCGGGATGCGCGGGCTGCCCTTTCCAGCGCACTCCTCGCTCCCTTCTAGCGTTTTAAGGGAAAGCACCTCTTCCTATTAGGCGAAATTTTGAATAGCTGCTCAAGACAAATGAATCCAGATTTGTGCATTACCATTTTTTTAGGAGGACAAGGATAAAGAGAAGAATGTCCTTTTTTGATGGTTTTGATCATTTTATTTTTTTTAGCCATTCAAGAAGCATTTTAATGGGTCTTTCCTCTGGACTTGTGCTACATTTTTTGCATTGCTTGTGGGAGGCCAGCTATGATATAATCTGTCAGTGGCAAGGCAACTTTTTAGTGGGAGGTAAGAGGCTTGAATTGAAACGAAGATGAAGAACACACTGAGGAGCTGCTGAAGTCTGCATTGTGTCCAGATGCTTTCTGTTTAAGAACATCATTGGAGATGTACAGTGTATATATATATTTTTTCCTCTTTACCTTTTTTTGCCTCTCTTCTTATGCAATGTGATCATTTTTACAGGGTACAAAGCTGGCAAAGATGAGGAAAATTGGCTGTGCTCTCCTGGTACTTCAAGCTCTTCTGGCGCCTTTGGATCTTGTTCATGGAGCAGAGAAAAATTATCCTGTCCTTAACATTGCAGTGATTTTGGGAAGGACCAAGTATATCACCGAGAGAGATATCCGAGGTCTGTGGACCAGGGAAATGTCAGCGGACCTGACAGTTGATGTCAATGTAGTGACCCTGCTGGTGAACCAGACTGACCCAAAGAGCATCATAACACACGTGTGTGACTTGATGTCAGGCACCAAGATCCATGGAGTGGTTTTTGGAGATGATACGGATCAGGAAGCAGTAGCTCAAATTTTGGATTTTATTTCATCTCAGACTTCTATCCCGATTCTTGGAATTCACGGCGGGGCCTCCATGATAATGGCAGACAAGGTAGGAAAACTTGCTCAAAGCTTTTGGTAGCTTTTGGGTTTGAATGTACTTCACTCTGTTGGTCTCTGTAGTGAATAATCATCGCATGCCGTTCAGAAAAGGATAACTCTAATGGTCCTTTTTGTACTTCGAAAAGGAATGAAAGGTGTGGAGCAGGGTACTCCTTCACTGCTCATTGAATATTCTGAAATATTTTGGCATTCATGTCTGAAACTCAACTTTCCTCCACTGTAAATGTCCTAATGAAACTTTACTCTCCACCAAGCTGAATGCTGGTTAGCTTAGAAATTTTGCTAGCAAATATGACATTGCTTTAAAAGTAACAACAAAATAGGCCAATAAAGTGATGATACAAAGCAGATAGAAAACTATAAGCAAATGCTATTGTGCAGTGCTCATGTGTAACAGTTACAGGACATTCATGTTGGACTGGTGGTTTGTGATCGGCTGTTGCTCATAAATTAAGTAGTCTGGCAAACTTGAACAAACCCTTATATTCACTGTATTCATTAATTTGGAGTTCTGCTAACTAGAAACTTCATACTCCATGCAGATCTGCAGTGTGGTGGCTGAACTGCGCAGATAATGACAAATCTGTTCTGTTGGAAACACTTCTTTATATAATGTGCTGTAAGGCTGTGCGGTGGCAGACGTGTGTGACTCATGGATCAGCCCATCCTCCTCAAAACCTTAACGATTCTCTTAATTGGCCCCTTTCCCTGCACAAGTGCTCAGGAAGCGAGCGAGGCTCTGGCCGCAGTGGGTGCTCAGCGCCCCTGAGCCTCAGTCGTGGTTGGGGTGCTGCGAGGGGCCCTGGCGGAGCTTTTGCAGTGTTTTACTCATTTCTTGGTACTTCTGGGGTTTCTTATTCCTTCTTGTTGGCTTTTGATTAGGACTTCAAGAGCGCCCTGAATCCATATGAGAAGGTGGTTGGATGTGTCGGCCTCCAACCASGGGGAAGAGGCTACGGTAGAGCTGAAATGATTAGTTGCAGAGGAGGAATTGGTGTTRCACTTGCCTAACTTTTCCTCTCTTTATTAGCTGGGATTAACGTGATCCTATTTCTTAAGGTTTTGAGCAAGTTAGCTTTAAAACTTGTCATGTGAAGGTCTAAGGTCCGGATTTACTGCAGAGAAGCTGTAGCCACAGCCTAGACCCTTGATTCCTCCTGAGCGGTCGCTGCAGCCAGTGCTGCCAACGTGAGTGTAAGGGCRGTGGCCAGGTCACAGCAACTGAGGATCTGGCAGCTGCACTTCTCTTTAGGCATTTAATACCTAATAATTCCMCTTTTTCTCCTGATACAAAAACATTTGCAGCTGAAGATCCCAGACACTGCATGATGGAGCACTGGGAAAAATCCTCATGCTCAGTAGTTGATGCAGGATGTTAGTGATAAAGATTATTTTTTAAGCTTATGCAGGGGGCTCTAGAAAGTGAAATAGGTGTATTTTTCCTGTCTCAGTATGTGAATAATATTTCTGTTTATTCTTTAATACTGCTATTATTRTGCCACTGCATTTGCTTTTAAGTGCTGTTGTAGTTTGTTATTGAAATATCTTCTTGCTGAAACTTAGCTTCTAAGATTGCTCTGGGGAAATGGGGCTGTTCTGCTGTGTATTGACAATCCAGTAGAGCTGTCTGCAGTGGCTTGAAGAGGCTGAAGGAAGCGTTTGCTCCTGTAACCAGAATAGCSTTGTAAAGGCAAGTGTAATGAGCAGTGTTTTGCACCTGGTGGTGGAAGATCACAGCAGGGAGCCTTGTATGTGCCTCTGAATTCCCATTAAGTTGGGAATGAATCCCTGGTAGGTGGAGGTAAAATTTGTAGTGCTGCTGTAAAGGCAGAGCAGATGAAATCTGAGGGAGAAGAGTAGGACTGTAAGTGTGGAAAGGTCAGCGTTTTGAGTCAAGTCAGCGTTAAGATTTCAGTCGCAACACATGCTTCTGCTTCCAAACCTGGGCATGTGTGCAGGTAGTACCTGTGTGTCTGTGGTCTGCTAGGCACTGTGGCTACAGAGACCAGATACTGTCTTTGTCATAAACTGTCCTAAACGTGACCTCATTGGGAACATAGGGGTGGGACTTGTCACCTCTAGTGTTCTTTTCTTCCTCAATAGAATTACAAGTCCTGCAGGTGTCTGGATAGGCTGTATGTGCACGTTGCAGGGAMGTGCTGGCTGCTGCACGCGCAGCTCGCGCCATGCGCCCGGTGCCCGCGAGTGCCCGTCCTGGAGCCGCGCTCTGCTGCTGCGTGGGCTCGGAACCCTCCTCTCCTGCCCGCCGGCCGCGTGCTGCCCTGGGGTGGCACCAGCAAGGAGCAGTGTCCCTGCAAGCGGCCTCTGAAAATCACAGCAGGCGGGTGAGGTTCAGAAACGGCTTTGGCTTTGCTGGCCTGTCTGGCCTGTTYTCACCCAACGTCCGCTGTCAGGAGCTACCAAGAAACCAATGTGGTGCTTCCAGGATACATGGGATGMCCCTGAAGCCAACTGCACTGTCAGCATCCCCCCTGGACAGTGAGGAGGCACTGAAGGACAAACCTTTGGAGAAGTGTCTTGCTCTAGGGGAAGCACTGGCAGGCAGAAGGCAGGTCTGAATAGCATCCAAGGGGGAGGCAATTTTCCAGTGGGGCTCCAGAGAAGTGATGCTTCTGGAAGCAGCTCTAGAAATGTTAAAATAGACTTTTGGTTTTCCCTAAGTAAGTATAATGTGTGGTTGAATTATTGCTATGAACTATATTCTTTCTGCTGACAAGTTTCTAGTCACAATAATGACTTTTCCTAGTTTAGTATGAAACCCACTTTACAACTATTACCAGCTTCAAGATTCCTTTTCACYGTATTCCTTCTTTGCCCAATGAATAATCAGAGGTTTGTGGAATAATTGGGGTTAGAAGGGATTTTTGGAGGTTGCCCTGGCTCTTGGGGCTGCCTCCCTTGGGGCTGGACCCGCTGGGGCTCAACTGGGATGGGCCYTCCCGGTGTGAGGTGCCGCCCTGGCCACCAGAAGGGCGCAGTGCTGACCCGCGCCGGCTGCACCCACGGGCTCTGCACAGGGAGCGAGCGCGGCCCTGGCCGCTTGTGCAACTCCTTGTGCGTGGCCGTTGTTCAGGTGTTCACCGATGTTCTTGTGGGTACTTACRTTGGTTCTCATTTTCATCTCCCGAGGGATCTGCCTGGCATCCCTTTGTTCTCCCGTGTTCCTGAGACGCAGAAACCGTTCTGCACTTGGAAGTGTGCGTAGTGTCTATCCCTGCTGCTGGCTCTGCTTGGAGTGTTTTGCAACTTTTTTCCTGCAACATATCTTCACAGTGATGTGTCCACATTGAGGCAACGTGTTTGTGTGAAGCAATGTTGTTTCCCCCCTCTCCACCACGTGCTTAAGCGTGTTTCAGTTCCCATGCTTTACAAACCTTTGGGGTGAGCGGAGAGGGAGTTGGGTTTCTTTTCCGCAGTGGAATCCCTGCTGGAGATGCTGGGCCCATTGCTTTGTGTAGTTTCCTTGTGAGCTGCCAGGTGCTTGCAGAGGTTCTGCCCAGCTGCTTGAGCCTGAAAAGGTGTCTTGTGTTTGTACAGAAAAATCCTATATTTGAGTTTCTAAATTTGCCCTTACTGATAACTGCCATTAACATGAACATGGTACTGCACTCCTGAGCATCCCATTAACTTTGCTTTGCTTTATTCTACAAAAGATTACAAGATGAAAGCGTAGAGTAAAAAACAGCTATATTCATTTAGCTGGTATTTYACATCTAGAAATAATATCTCGCACTTTCCCCAGCCTGGGTCCATTGTATTTAAATAGTATTTCCAGCTTCTTGCTCATGCAAAAGGAGCAGCTAAACACGATTTATTTCCTACCTTCTGCTGCTCTGGGCAGGATGACTTTTGGAAATTGAGTTTTATTTTGAACTGCAACAAAAATGTTATGTAGACCTCCTCTTGCAAGACTGTGTCCACTTGACCATGTGCCAAAAATCAATAGGACTATCCATAGGTATTTAAAAGGTCTCTTGCACATCAGAGAAGATTTTCATTATCTGCAGCATGATCTTCTGTGCCTAGGTACCGTAATCATTGCTGATATTAAATGGTTGCAATTATGCTTGAAATGTCTGYCCTAGCGAGGGGATGAAGCGAGGTTAGGCGCTTCCTTCTGCCGGTCTCCGCTCGGAGCTGCGCGCCGGGATCCCACTTGGCTGTGGAGCTGCGCGCCGGGATGCCGGCCGGCCCGGCTGGCTATGGTGCCCTAGGGATGGCCCCAGGGATGGGCCATGGTGGGAAAGCAGTGCCTCACACCAGCCGGAAAGCAAATCCGGGCAGACCCCAGCTGTTCTCTTGCCGCTAAACCCCGCCACGATGGGGCCAGCTTGGTGCGCTCTCCTTCTCTTCTCCTTCCGCTGTCTTCTGCCCCCTCCTCCTCCTCTGCCTCCCTCGCTCCCGGAGCTCTGGAGTTGTGTGGATTTTACCGAGGGAGCCCAGCCTGGATCGTCTCCAAGCCATCTGTCACCATATTGTTTGTTTAAATCCTTGGGGCATTTTCTTCAGTACTTYACTGAAATAAATAAAAACAGAGTGGCATCACTGGCCATTTATATTAGATTTGGGCTTAATGCCCTTAGGCAGGAAGCCCTGTGCTCGCAGCGGAGGCTGGATGTGCAGGCCATGGGAGCGGCCACGGCTTCGTTGTGCCGGCCGCGAGTCCCTGTGCCGCCGTCGTGGCCGGGGGAGGYCCCTTTGGCCCCTGGAAAGGGCCCTGGCTCGGGTGGCTCAGGGTGCCCGGCGAGCCCTGCCCTGAAGCATCCCCGCTGGCCCTGGCCGGGCTGCTGCCTCGGCGCTGGCCCCGGGGAGCTGCGGTGAGCCTGGCTGGGGGTGTTGCAGGGAGAATTGAGGTGGAGAGGTTGGAGGAAGGGCAGCGCAGGGCATGCGGTGGGGCCCGGCCACCCACCGCGCCGCTCCCTGCCTGCCTCCGAGCCCACGTGCCGCAAGCGGGGCGGCCTGGCGGGG